TACTACATTTAGTATATTTAGAAAAAAAATAATTAATTTTTTTATTATTTTTTTTTTCGGAAAAAAAATTACAAAATGTATTGATCAATTTTTTTGCCAAAATAGGTCTTAAAAGTTTTGTATTTATTTTGAGATATGTGTAATATACATTTTAATTGAATTTTTTTATGTTTTGCACTCATTTTAAAGCAAATTTAAGTGTGGATGATCAGTTTACATAAAAAAAATTAATATTCTTTTTATAAAAAATAAGACTTAACAATTCCCTAATTTAGCATGCAAGAATATGCTTTAGGTTTTGTTCGGAATAATAATCATAATAATTTTCACAATAATTTTCTTATAAAAATGTTTACTCTGGCAACAATATCATATCACATGCCCAAACGGAGACCGCTGCAAAATGGCTTTTTTTCCCTCGACCGAAACTGCCTGTTTCGTTTTCCCCTTTGCTCCTCTCTCGCATCTGACAACCTCGAGCACGGTTTTTGTTTTCCATTTCGGTCCTCTCTCATTATGTTATTTGCATTCTTAATTTTGATCTTACATCTCCTCTTGACTCTAGTAATGAGATGACAAATGAAACTATATTAATTTATTAATCTAAAATTTCATATGAGATGGCAGACCGTTAGAAAATTGACTGTGTGAAAACTGCGGAAAATTGACCGTTGAAAAATTCTACCTGTAATAGGTGATTTTCCTGTAGTGTTTAATTTAGGCCCCCCCCAATAAAATTTCTGGCTCCGCCACTGAGTTCCCACCTATGTACAACTATATTTCTCAGGGAAAATCTTACTTGGGAATAATTTTAAGGTTCCTCAGGCCACAAAAAGAAACTATTATGAAAGAAATAATACACTTAGGTGAATGTGGAAGTCACTTAACATTAGAAAATGTTAATAAAAGATTTCTTAGACAAGAATACCATTGGCATATTATTAGATGTGATATAAAGAGTTTTTCCAGGAAAGCTATGTTGCCAAATTCATGGGAAGACTCTTCATTAACCAAGTTAAAAATTGTGGTCCATAACTTCTCCTTTTCTATTGTGCTTGTGAGGAATGGATTTAATTGGATGTTTTCCTATGGTACCTCAATAACTGAGATTTATGCTTGTCTTGGTGGATATTTGACTAAGTGTATTGGAATGAATTACACTTGCTTGAGTAATCATTGATGTAGTCAAAATTTTTATGGTCCGTCATGTTCACAATGTTTGGTCTACTTTTATAGCATTCATCACCAATAAATGGATCACAATTCTTGAGCAAAATGTTGTCAGATTTTTGCGCAAGGAATGTGATTAATTTAAAATTTCTTGGGTCCATTGTCACAAGCTGATAATAAGCAAGCAAAACTGACAAAAAAAAATCAATCTCTTGAAGACGAAGTCATGTTAATGAATTACCCTCTATTCTTTGCCATACAAAATTGTACTATCTACTATTGTAACGGAAACGCCTTTTTCTTTAGCATATGGATGAGGCAGTGGTACCTTCATTAATATATTTCCCAAAATGACAGAAACTGTCAGTGCCATCTAGAAAGGTCTCATATTGTTTGTAAAATAATGAGGAATTGATGAAGTATAATGTGGATTTATTGGAAGAGAATATAATGTGAGTATCAGAGACGATAAGAAGGTACAAGTTTGGGCAATTATGTTTATGAAGTCCATGTTTAAAAGTAGATAATTCAGCAAGGGATGTTAATCAAGGTCTTCGGATAGCACACAAATATGCGAATTTCTTGGCTGACTGAGAAGAGTCTTATAAGAGAAACTAGAGAATGATGCATAAAGACTACAAATTAGTGATGTTGAGCCAATTCCTAGAACTTAAAGTTTTAATGATTTTAAATTGTTCTATGTTTTGTGAACTAATATGTGATTGTTACATAATTTCTAAATCATCTAATTAATGATCCTAAATTGTGTTCAACTTATCTTATTAATTGAGTATATAGATATTGTTGTTTGTTCTCCATAATAAAATATAACTTTCTCCATAAAAAGGAGTTTTTAATGGTATCTATTTGTCAAATCTGAGTTATTTAAAGCATTTTATATTCTAAATACTGTAAATGTTTAGAAGTTTGAAGCCTACCAAAGCAACATCTATAAAGTTATTGTTGACAATTAAGACGGTATCATGACATTTTTAATGTGATTGCTAATTGCCAGTAAATAATAATAATCACCATGGCATAAATTCAATTAGTATTGTGGGGAAATAAAGTTAACGCCATGCAGAGTTAAACTTCTCCTATTTTGTAATTGAATACTGCATTGAGAATAAAGTAAAATCTCGGGAGACTAACACAATATTCTACAATGGATTCAATATCAAAATAGGATTTTGAAAAATGATATTTCTAAAATTAAGCATAATTCAAAGAATAAAATATCATCTCGAAAGATGATTATGAAATTCTACAAAATGTGTTCAAGAATAGAAATGTAGTTTTGAAAATTTAGCCACTCTTTTGATTAGATACAACAAGAAGTATACTACATCTTAAAGATGAATGTGATATTTTTCAAGACATCTAAAAATAAGAATGCGTTTTATAAAATTTATCATTTCTAAGATCAAATATAACAAGGAAAATGTTATATCATCTCGGAAGACAATAATAACATTATACAAGTATATTCAAAGTTAGAAATGAGGTTTATTTTAATGTAGAGTTCTCAAATCACTATAGGGGCAATCCCCTATAGTTAATCACATCTTAGGGGGGTGATCTTAAGAAAACTCTCCATTAAAATAATGATTTCATTCCCTTTGATTACAAAGTAAAAGACAAGGAAAGAAGCAGTAAATTTTTCAAGAAGAAAGCTCAACGTTGAACAATTCTTAACGAGTCAAAAGAAGAAAAGTAGGAGGTGCCAAATTCTGAGAAACTCAAAAGCAACCTCAGTCTATCCTATGTTGGGCTTTACTATAGGGGCAATCCTTTATAGTTAATTACATCTTAGGAGGGGTGCTCCTAAGAAAACTCTTTATTAAAATAATGATTTCATACATTTTGATTACAAAGTAAAAGACAAAAAAAGTAGGAAAATTTTCAAGTTTGGTTGAACAGTTCTTAATGAGTCGAAGGAGAAAAAGTAGGTGTCGGATTCTAAGAAACTCTAAAGCAACCTTAGTCTATCCTATATTGGGCTTTACATTTTAGGTGAGAAAATATTATGTTTGAGTTGACATTTAATTATAAATTTGACATTATATTCCCGGACGGTGCGGACTTAAGATTTGAAATTTACCTCAGAACCTAAATCTGAATTTTGTAGTATAAAGTAGTGACCCGAACCTATCTAATGAAGTGTAAATCTGGACTTACCGCGACCTAGATTGGGAAGCCAGTTAACTACCTAAGCACTTTAAAATCACGTGTCTGGTCTCTTTATTATGAAATATGGGTAGAGACGTTAAAGTTTTGACGAATTGAGGCTTACATTTAGAACACATCCTAATTGGTCACTTTACTCATGTAGGTTGATTTGATATTTGAAAGTAAAATGTAATTAAAATTTTAGACTTTTAATTTGTATCTAATGCAATGCATGCTAATTGGCTCGAATGCATAAAATGATTATAAAACAATTTTAAAATCAAGCTTAGAAAGTATATTTTTTTCTCGAGATTGTACTACATCCCCTTGACAGAACTACACTTTAATAGGCCAAGTGGTTTGCCAAAACTTGCAGGCGGGGAGGTGCCTAATAAGAAAGAGAAATCAATAATATGCATATATGCTGACTCTCGGCGGTCCTAAGTATATTTCTTAGATCATTAGAGCTTTTATGTGAGACTAAAAGTTCTATTTAAATTTTAAATAGAACAGACTAAAAGTTTTATGAGAACAGTATTTTGCGCATACATAAAACATGTCAGTTTAAAAGTTTAATTTTACCTCATTTGATTTAGCCATGCATGAGCATGTCCACCTGCAGAAAATCTTATGAGAATTCAGATCATTCCTAACTTAAGGATAATCTATTGTCCATCACATCAATTCACAGATTGCAAAAATAAATAAACATGTAAATCAATCAATTTCACAAATATAATGCAGTGAAAATTATGAGAAGCCCGTCACACAACAATAAGAAAATAAACACCGGCATAACCTAAAGCTAGAATCAGTTGTCATAACAAATAAATATAAGTGTGTATAGTAGGCGGTGTGGCTTAGGGATATCTTAAGCTTACTATTAGTTAAAGTTTTCTAATATATTGAATTTAATTTGTTTGGAAGGTCCAGGGGATTTGATGTTCAAATTCAAATTTTAGGTGATTTTATATTTTTTTGAACTCCATTTTTAATTTTTCTTTTAATTATTAGAGTTGATTAATGATTGGTTATTTAGGTGTTTTAATTAATTATATTTTCTTTCTTATTTATTTATTAGGTGATTTATTAACAAAATATCGATTATTTATTTAATTTGATGATTTATTGAATTTTTAACAATTTATCAATTTTTTTTTGAAGAATTTATTGAATTTTTAATGATTTATTGAATTTTTAAAGATTTATTGAGTTTTTTAATAATTTATTGAGTTTTTAATGATTTATTAAAATTTTAAATGATTTATTATATTTTTAATGATTTATTGAATTTTTAAAGATTTTATTGAATTTTTAAAGATTTATTAAATTTTTAGATTTATTTATTTTAGTTTATTGTAATTTATTATTTAACCTCTTTTTAAGTTTTATTTAGGATTTTTCTGTTTTGCTTGTTACAAAATTTTATTACTTTTCCAGTTTTATTATATATATACATTTTTTATTATTTACAAATTTTTATTTTTTAATGTTTATGTTTAACTTTATATTACTCTTATTGTGTATTATTATCATTTATATAAAAATGTTGATTTTATCTGAATTTATTATTTAGTCTTGTATATGTCATTTTGTTTAAATTTGGATGCTAGTTTTTTTTTTTTATTTTTTTTAATAATTTTTGGTTTGCGTAGGGATTGATTTACTTTTATTAAATAAATAAATGTTATTTATCTTTTTTATAATTTTTATTTGTAATGCCTTAGGATTGGTTGGAATTATTATGATAAAATTCAATAGACCCTAAATATTTTGAAACCTACTAATTTAATAGGAGAAAAAACTACTGGTAATCATAATCAAATTCTAACACTCTTAATTACTAACGTAGTTACCAAACATGCAATCAATTGGGTTTAGGCTCTAAATAACGAAATAAAAGTAACTTACAAATTAAAATCAAATATAATATGCATGATAAAATAAAAATTATGGTTTCTGCATGACCCTTTGGTTGGGAGATTGCAAAACAAAACAAGGATTTTAAGTCTTAAGGCTATTTAAATTTTTAGAATGTTCACATACACCAGAGTCAATGTCCGGTGTAATCCGACCATAGCACCTCCATCCAGTTAGAATGGAGGCAATTGATACCTCTAGTCCCTTTCCTTTTGTTCATTTGATCGTCACCTTTCCTCACAGTTTATGCAAATAAATAAAATAAAATAGTAGATTAGGGCACGTTTAATAATTTAAAATTGAAATAATTGAAAAATATTATTTAAATCAAAATATATTTGTTTTCTGGCTTGAAAATCGGCTTGGTTATTTCACCTTTTGAACTTTCCACGTTTAAAGGCATATCATGTTTTTTTCTCCAAAATTCACCCTAAGGCACAAGAAAGGGGAAGAAGGAAGAGAGAGAGAGGAGAGAGAGAGGGGTATAGAGATGTAAGGCTAAACTTTTCACTTTCCACATTTAAAGGCATATCGTTTTTTCTCCAAAATTCACCCTCAGGCACAAGAAAGGGGAAGAAGAAGAGAGAGAGAGGGGTAGAGAGATGTAAGGCTAAACGTTTCTTTAAAATGTCACTTTCCAATAATTACCCAAACAACTCACTCTCCAACAACCACACTCTCCACTTTCAATGATTAAACACTTCACTCTCACTTTCCAAATTATATACACCTTTCACTTTTCGAGTCATACATAATTCACCTTTCAAAACATGTGTCACTCTACAAGAAATATACAATTCACCTTTCTGAAAATACACTCATCAAACACCTTACCTATCAAAATCCCACATTTTAACTTTTATCTTTCTCATACATTACCTTTCAACACACATATTTCCCACAAAATCATACATTTTATTTTTCACATGCACAATTCATTTTCCCAAAATTTTCTACATCACCTTCCGAAATCACTCTTTACCTTTCAAGATAACACACTTTACTTTCCAAAATCACTCACAGACACTTTACTTTTTCACATTTACACATTTTCACCTTTTCATTCTCACCATGGCCACTACAATGAAACCATACACATTTGAGAATGAAAATCACATTTCTTCCTATCATGCAACAAACATCAAACTTCCTCATAGTTGAAACTCAACAATTTCTACTAAAATGCAATCATAAGATAGAGGATTTAATCCTAATTTATTCCCTCCAAATTTCAAGAAAATATTCCATTAACACAAATAACATTGCATAAAATCTATACAAATTCATATTTGAAACAAGAGATATATGAAAGTTTTCTAACATAATTGTCCACATGACTTTCCTCATAAAACTCAAACAAGTAAAGAAAAATTGAGATTCAAGAAAGCATAAAAGCATCTTATCATCCACCATAACTCTTGGAGCTAAATATGCCTCCAACCCATTTATTTGCTTCAATCCAACTTTTAAGCCAAATGCAAATAAGAGAAAGAAGGTTTTGATAGGAATTTCATTTCATCTCGAAAGAATTCAAGAGACCTTTTAACATGAAGCTCACAATCCTTGCTAAAGCTCAAAGAAAACTGTCCAACATAAAGCATGTGACCTTGCGTTGAATCAACTCGAACTCACAAATGAATCATAAAATACATGAAGGTTCCCCAATCTAGATAAAACTCATCAAATGACTATAGGTGTTCATCTATGCTAGGTTACGACTAGGTTACGAAGACCTAGGAGCTAATGATGGATTCTGGTGAAATTGACCTCGAATAATGAGGTTAACAAGTATCGTCAACCAAGACCTATCTAATATTTTCTCCATTGACAACCAATATCAAAGAGAGAACTCACAACCAAAACCTAGTTATAAATTATCATACTATGGCACAACTCAAAACAATCAATGATTGATAAAAGAAAACACAAGTACTAATAATGCGTAGAATGAAACACATTCATAAGAGATCTAACTCAAACATGATAAAATTTTACATAAAATCTGTTACCTCAGTTATGACTCTTAACCCTTTCTCATGTAATTTTCCAATGACACTTCTTGAAATACATTAGGATTTACTACTTGTTCTTGAAGTGAGCATTTTTGAATGCATAATAGCCATTTCCTTGTGCATAGCGAAGAGAATCCTCAATATACTACATAGATTTCTCATACTCATTGATAAGCTTTTAAGCATCAGTGGGATCAATGGTTTTCTTCTTGATTCACTTTACTGACTTGATCATTTCATTATGGAGTTCAACCATCATCGTGACTAATATTTTATTTGGTACAGCTTTTTTATTGCTTCTTAAAGTTGTTTTAAAAAGCAGTAAAAAAGCCACCCTAAACCCACGTTTAAAATTGCACAATAAAGGCGCTTCTTGAGGCGCGCCTTACCGCAATGCGGTCCCTTTAAACCTCAAAGCCTACACAATAAGTTAAGGTTTTGAGGCTTACGTCTCAAGTTTAATGAGGCGCGCCATAAGGCGTGCCTCGCTTCACATTTTTGAGGCGACGCCTCTAATAAAAATAACCTAATTTTTTTTTTCAGTTCCGACCCGTAATTGCGCCTAGAGAGATGTCGACGTGGCATCAACATTTAAACCTTGGTAAAGGTCGAATGTCAGACACCGCGTTACGGTTTTCAAGTTCCAGCAAACGTTTCAACTTCCAAGCATTCACTCCGGAGCAATTCCAAGCATTCCCTCAGTTCCTTCTCAAATGTCGTCACCCACCAAGAAAAAGGTAAATTGCTGCCATGATTTCTGTTCAATTCTGTGTATTTTATGGTTATGCTATGCGTATGTGTTCAAGGTTTTAAAGTTTTTCATTTTTTTTCCTTATGCTATGCGTATGCGATGCTTCTCGAAACTTTTTAAATGTTTAATTGATACTTTGATTCCATCAGGTTTTCTCTGTATTTAGGGTTTATAATTTTATGTTGAAATTTAAAATATAAACCCTAACTAAATTTTAAGCATCAAGTACTCTCTGCGTATGCTGTGCGTACTATATGTGTACGTTGTGCGTACAAACTGCCTGCGTGCGTATTTTATGCGTGCGTATAATTTGCTGTCATATTTTCTGAAATGTGCGTTCTTGTGCGTAGGTTGTGAGTACTTTATGCGTATGTTGTGCGTGATCGTTGCTTGTGCTGTGCATATTTTATGCTTATGTGTGCATTTTTTGTGCGTATCTTATTTACTTATTCTATATGTTTTTATTTTTTAAAATTTTCAGATATATGTTCATCCAATTGCCTATCGATGCTATGTTTCTACTTTACGATTAATCTGTGATAAATTTGCTCAGCAAATTTCTCCTGAAGTCCTGGATACATTGAAACGATTGAAAATCATATAGTTTTTGCAATTTCCTGGATTTGAGCAAAATATCCCTTTTATTTATGAGCTGATATCATGATTTAACATTTCAAAGCAATGCTTTGTTCTAAAAGGTGACTCCATTCCTTTCACTGCTAATGAAGTGGCCATACTTACTGGTCTGCCAAATAAAGGAGAAGAAATATCCTGGCATTCCTTAGCACATACTTCAGTTACATCATTGGAAATTAAGGCAGACATGCTGGAGTTGAACAAGCAAACCCCCCCTCGAGACTTTGTTAAGAACGTTTATCATGTATTTATATTCAAATTTACTTTTTCAACTTAACAACTTCAAAACCCCTCGGTTGTTTCAAAGAATAGCAAATAATCCAAAAGATTTTTTGTCAATAAACTGGGCTAGTTCAATTAGGGAATTTTTAGTTGGAGAGTTTAATAAGGTCTCATTCAAGATTTCAAATAAGAAGCTAACAGGTTACATCAACACTTTTGTACCTATGCTAATTGTGAGTGCTAAGTGCTAACTATTAAATTCATTCAAAATTTTTTTGGCTCAATATGAGTGCTAATTTTTTTTTTCATCTTGTGCAGATTTGGTTCCTCGAGCATACTTCTTTTCATGCTCCTATATATACTGATAAAAGGTCCCGTTTTCTACGATAGGCCAATGATATTGTATATACTATAGAGGTGGTCACTAACTTATTTGTTAATATAAGGAAAAGTTAAATTTGTAATGTCCTCCAAGCAGTTTACCAGGTTGAAATGGATATGGTTAATATCAAGAAATATTCATCAGACAGCCCTCCATCCCCTGATTCCCCTCATGAAATATTCACCCATCAAAACAACCCCTCAATCTCCCTATCATACCCCACCTCCTCAACAAGACCCTCATCAATCTCCTCTGTAAGACCTTCACCAATCTCCTCAGCAACCACACTTAAGTTTTTCTGCTGAAGCATTTGAATCTCTGCAAGAAAGAATAATCAAATCCTACCAAGAAACATGCATAAAACTTTTTCTTGAATTTGAAGATAGGCTGAGCACAAAGCTTAAAGACCTAACTGATTTAATTAAAGTTATTAAGGTCAAACTCAATAATTACATTGATCAAAGCAAAATACTTTATCAGAAAAGATCTGTTAGCTACTCTTCATCTTTCAATAAGAGACATAAATCAGATATCCCTCCCCACAACCCCAATGAACCAATCCCTCAAAATGAGCCAATCACATCCAGAAATGAGCCAATCCCAGCAGAAATGCAACTTATTCCATATACAAATCCAAATGAACCAATACCAATAGATGACATTCATATAAATCTTATAACTCATGATTATGCAAATGAAATAAAAAATTATAAAGGTCTTATGAGTTTGAATTCTGAGAAGAGAAATTTTGAGCATGAAAGTTTGAAAAAGTTCAATCAAAGGTAAAAAAATTGCAAATTATTTTATGTTTGAATATTTGTATGCGTGAGTTATGCGTATGATATGTGTATTATATGCGTATGGTATGCTTATGATACGCGTATGTTATGCGTATTTTATACGTATTGTATTATATGCTTATAGTATGCTTATTATACGCGTATTACATGCGTATGATATGCTTATGTTATGCATATTATATGCGTATTACATGTGTATGGTTTGCTTATGATACGCGTATTGTATGCTTATGAAATGCGTATTTAATATTTTTTTTTGTAGGGACGATAATATCTTGTTTATTAGTAATATTCTTATTTCTAGAGCTGAAATTGACGAGTTATTAAGCGACAATTATGTAGGCAATGAACATGTAGATCTTTTTGCTCTTTTGTTAGATGAGAAATGTAACCTTATGCCTGACAAGTATCATAAATTTCTATACATCTCTCCAGTCTATTGGGTTAGTAACTTAGTATTCAATTAATCAGTTTAACTATTGAATTAGTAACTTAGTATCTATTTCTTAGTTCTTACATAGTTACATTTACTACTTGTACTTGCAGAATAACAAAGGAAGGGATAAATTGGCCAAATTGCAAATCGACCATATAACTGAACTTTCTGTTTCTTCAAACAACATTTTATTACAGCCAATCATTGAATCCTCGCACATTACCCTTCTGGTTGGTTTGCTGAAAGAACAAAAGTGAAAATTTTATGACTCGTTACCCCACAGTGTCAAAGAGCATAGGTTTGTTGTTCCAAAAATCGTAAGTGTTAGATGAACATGAACTCTTATATTTTTAAAAATTTTATAGAACTAATCCTTGCTCTACGTATTTTTCAGCTTAAAGCCCTATATTCTGACATGAAGGATATTTTAATAGTGATATTAGAAAATGGAAGCTTTCTACCATTAAAGGTGCACCAAAACAGGAGAATTATGTAGATTGCGGAATGTATGTCTGTAAATATATAGAAAGAATAAGTCTTGAAGGCAACACTAATTGGACTGATAGTACAAATTGGCAAGAAGACATGCCGAAGTATAGGGCAGAATTTGCATATGAAATATTTTGTAAAACGTTGGAAAAATAACAGTTTTTCATTGTATAAATATTTATCATTCTGTGTATAAATGTTTTTGTGTATAAATATTTTTGTGTATAAATGTTTAAACAGTTTCTGTATAAATGTTTATCATTCTGTGTATAACTATTTATTTTTGAAGAATATATTTTTCAATTCTATGTAGAAATGTTATTTACATTGATTTGATTAAAAAATAACTTATTAAATGATAATACGCATAAATTACGCATATCGTACGTATTGTGTAGGCATATTGTACGCATATAATACACATATCGTAAGCAGATAATAGGTATAGAATACGCATAATATGATGTTTGAAAGATTTTGTGATTGACATTTGGGTTTAAAGATTAGTGTTTGAATTTCTTATTTGTTTTAACGAAAAAAATAATTTTATAAATGGTTTTTAAACGTTTTTAAATAATACGCATAATGCATGTACAAAAGACATAGTACGCATCATACACGCACATGTTACGCAGTAAATTTTATTATCAAATTTTATTAAATATTTTTAAGAATACACATGACGCACGCACACAACACACATATCGTACGCAGTATACACACACATAGTACGCACAAAAGACGCACATAGTACGCATAATACACGCACACATTACGCAGAAAATTTTATTTATCAAATTTTATTAAATGTTTTAATTAATATCTATCTTTGTTTTTAAATTACTTACATTAAATTGATGAGTAATATGTTTAACACGTTGAACTTAAACTTGTTATTACAAATTAGACGCAATATGATTATTATGATTTCATTTTTTATTCTTGAATATGATATTTGAATAAGTACAAAGGATTTATGGCTCTTGGAGGATTGTATTTAAGAAAGAGAAATAAGGAATATGATGTTTGAAAGATTTTGTGTTTGACATTTACGTTTAAAGATTAGTGTTTAAATTTCTTATTTGTTTTAACGAAAAATATAATTTTATAAAGGTTTTTTAAACCTTTTTAAATAATACACATAACGAACGCACAAAAGACGCATAGAGTACGCAGAATACACGCACATATTACGCACATAAGATGCATAGTGTACGCATAATACACGCACACATTACGCAGTTAAATGTTTTACTTAATATCTATATTTATTTTTAGGTTACTTAACATTTTTTATGAACTGAGGGGCCGTGACATGAATAATAATTTTCATTAGTTGTGGACTGACGGGTGGCAGATATGATTGGGAGGATTGGTTGAATTTTTATGAGTCATTATTTACAATTTATTGCTTACTGTTGTTCAATATTAAAATTTCCACTATATAAATGCGGGAACGCTTAGCTTATGGTAACGCATGATTTTTAAACAGAAGTAATGCAGGCTTGACAGAAGGTTAGATTTTTTTACTTCAGAGCTTAGTCTAAGGTTGCTGTTAGTTTGTGATTCTTTTGAGGATGAGGATAAATAAAATATTTCAAAATTAGGTAATCCTTAGTCTCAAATGAATCACAATCTACTAACAGCTTTAAACTTCGCTCTTAATTCTTAAGTAAAAAATCTTATCTTCTGTTAAGCCTGCATTACTTCTGTTTGACAATCATGTTTAATATTTTTAATAGAATGTACATAGGTTCTATTGTAAAATTGTATTTGTTATAAATGTTCTTTTAATTTGTTATTGTATTTTTTATATTGTACATAGTCATTAAAATTGTATTTATCAAATTCTATTAAATGTTCTTTCAATTAATTTTTTTTCAAAATACGCAATGTTCACGTAGAGAGTACGCACATCACACGTATGGTGAACGCAATGTATACCCATATATTACGCACAGAGTACGCATAGATTACGCACAATATAATATTGAACACATCCAGTACTCATACTATAACAAGAAAATCATATATTTTATAAAATATTAATACAAAATCATACATTAAGTTACACCTGCTCAAACTGCTAATTTACAAATACTTTAGAAAAAGTTTTACAAAATACGCATGGAATACGCATATAATATGTCGTACATACGCAGTGTATACGCATAACATACGCAGAAAATACGCATAGATTACGCAGTGTTCTGCTTTATCAACAGCTCGACATTATATAATACCGAACACATCTAACACGCATATTAAACCCTAAACGAGAGTTGTTCTCTTCGCCTTTTGCTTGGAGGTTTCTTCTACTGCGAGACTGCGAGTTGGGCCGCTGTCTTCTCCGTCCGACCGGCGTACGCTTCTGTTCGAGGCTGCTGTCTCCTCCGACCTGCATCATGTCATAGAAATGATTAGTAAGAACTCGTTTACTTCCTATTTTTGCTCAATCAGGAGGGTCAGAAATAAGGATAAAGCTGTATCAGGTCATAGAAAAGATCCAGCATGGAAACATAGCACTCAGGTGGATGTAGGAGGTAGTGATAAAACATATGTCTATTTGAAATGCAATTACTGTGATAAAGTTGTGAAAGGTGATGTGACTAGGATGAAGGAACACCTTTCAGGTTCTCACAAGAATGTTGCTCCATGCTTCAAAGTTCTTGATACTATAAGGGATGAGATAAAGTCATACATGAATAAGTCTACCAAATCAAAACATTTTCCACAGAAGCAATTTGAGGACAGAGCTGATGTTGGATCTTACTACGGGAGTGAGGGCAGCGTTAGAGATTCCTCTTCTTCTATGAAGCCCATTTCATCTAGGGGTGCTAGAGGGCCTATGAATTATTATATGGTTGACACATCAGAGGATCGGCCTTCTGCTACACAGAAGATGGCCCTAGAAAATGCATGGGAGGCGCGGAGAAGAGTGTGTAAGGATATAGGCAGATTCTTCTACGAAAATGCAATTTCATTTAATGTTGCAACATCACCTGCTTATTACAACATGATTCATTCAGTTGGAGCATTTGGGAGAGGGTTCAAACCTCCAACCATGTATGATTTAAGAATATGGATTTTGAAGGAGTTGGAAAGTAATGATAAAAGCATCGAAGAAATTAAGAAAATTTGGGCTCAAACAGGAGTAACAATTATGTCAGATGGGTGGTCTGATATCAAACATAGAAGTCTGATCAACATTCTCATTAATAATCCTTATGGTACCGTGTTTTTAAGGTCAATTGAAGCATCTGACCAGGTCAAAGATCCTGAGTTCATATTTGAATTATTAGATAGCATTATTGATGAGGTTGGAGAACATTTGGTTGTACAAATTGTGACATATAATGCAAGTTCTTATAAGATTGCAGGTAATAAACTTATGGAGAAGTGAAAACATCTGTACTGAACTCCATGTGCTGCACATTGTATATATCTGATTCTTGAGAAGCTTGGGGAGCTACCTCAACATAAAAATGCACTCACTAAAGCCAAAAAATAACCAAGTTTATTTACAATCACTCTTGGGTTCTAGCTCTTATGAGAAAATTTTTGAAAAAAGAAAATCTAAGGCTAGCAGTAACAAGATTTGCCACCGCTTATTTGACCTCAGAGAGCATGCTGGATGCTAGGCAATCTTTAGAGGCTATGTGAACATCTACACAGTGGTTGAGTTGTACTTGAACGAAGAAGGCTGTGGGAAAAGAGATTAGAAAGATTGTTTTAAATGACAGATTTTGGCAAATTGTCTTATATGCCATTACAACCACTAGACCTTTAGTTCATGTTTTAAGGATGGTGGATGCTGAGAAGAAGCCTGCAATGGGTTTCATCTACAATTCCATGGATGAAGCCAAAGAGATGATTGCCTCCAACTTAGGAGGCAGTGATGGAAGCTTTAGGGAAATTTGGAATATTATTGATGATAGGTGGGAACTACAGCTTCACCGACGCCTGCATGCCGCTGGCTACTACCTAAACCCTCTATATCAATATGCAGAGAACAAGTCTACAAACCCTGAAATAAAGTTGGGATTGTATCATTGCATGGATCGTCTAATAAGTAATGCAACTGAAAGATTAAATGCTGACATGCAATTGGTACCTTTTAGAAACAAAGAAGGTTTTTTTGATTACAACAAGCAAAAGATACAATTGCCAAACAATCTCCAGTTAAGTGGTGGATTCAATTTGGTGATGGGACTCCAGAATTACAGCGTTTTGCTGTGAAAGTTTTGGGCTTGACATGCTCTTCATCTGGCTGTGAAAGAAATTGGAGTACATACAATCAAGTGCATACAAAAAGGAGAAATCGCTTGTCGACATTGAGGATGAACTCACTGGTGTACATTATGTACAATAGGAGACTTAGAGATAGAAATTTGAAGAAAAAATGATTAATGGATGATGAACTTTGCTTTGCGATGATGTGGTATCTGATGATGAGTGGTTTGTAGATGATGAAGTTAAAGTGATGCCGTCTGAATTACAAGATGAAGATTTAAATGTTGATTTGTGTGATGGTCTTAAAGCATCCACATCCACCACAACTCAGGAACAAATCAAAAAAGGTATATAAATAATATAGTTTATCTTTTTTTAAATTTTTATTAATGTATTACACTATTATTCATTATGATATTGTTCAAAAATATTTAGGGAAGAGGAAGATAATTGATAATGAGGAAGAAGAAGCTGATTGGGAGATATTGGACTCTATAGGAGAGGAGGAAGAGGAGAAAGCAGTTCATCATAAGGATGATTCAAATGAAGACCCCCTTAGTGATGACTGATGAGTGATGACAGTGCTGATGACTAGTGAGTTCTTATATGATATGTCTCTTTTATTTATCCTCAAAGATGTGGTAAGTAGCATTTTTATGTTTTATATATTATTTACTCATTATTATATATAAAATTTATCATTTTATGTTTACACAATTTTTTGATTTTGAGGCTTACGCCTCAAAACGTTTTAAGGCTTACGCCTCGCCTCATGAACGAAAAACGCCTACCCGAATACGCAATTTTAAACATTGCCCTAAACTAAGCCTAAGTAAGAATATCCCTTGTGAAGGGATAAAATTGTTTTTCTTGGTGGATTCAATTTTCTTCTCAGCTTCCTTCATAAAGAATTAATAATATTTCACTCTTTTGTTTTATTGATGTATATTGTCTTTATGTCTTTGTTCCTTATTTTGCAGGGACTAAGATTGGTTTTGGCTAACTTCTCTCACGGCTTTATTCATTGCATGCATATAAGCAAAACTTAAAGTATCGTTCTCCCCTATGGCCTTCAACCATTTCAATATGAGAGGATATTTTTCATTTGTTCTTTAGGGAAGCAGCTTTGCTATCAGCCTCTTCAATAACTTTATTCCTTTAAGCGGCTATTTGCTACACTTTTGCCTTTGCTATATCCCATTTGTCTTGCATCTTTTGTTGGCTATAGATAGCAATGACAAGTCGGCTAGAAATATATGGACCCGTGGTTGCTTCAAACAGTTTAGGTTCATGAATCTTTACTAGATCTTCAGTATAATATTTAGAAAATTTATTCCAATGTACTTTAGTATGAGTTAAGTCTACAAATTCAGACTAGAGCAGATCTTTATTGAAAATTTTGAAGGAAAGTTTATTTGAATTATGCACAATTGTGGAACACCCATCATCATTCCACTGCAAGATCTTCCCAGATTGTTGCGACTCCATAGAAACAAATAGAAGCACGACCAAAAGATATTCTCAGATATATCATGAAATTGAGAAGAAAGAGAACATATAGGCGAGTTATTTACTTTATTTATTGGCATAAATAGGATTCAGGTATATTGAGGAGGAAGAATTGATACATATGCTCTTGTCCAACAACAAGAGTATTGGGGTAATCATGTTCTTTATATCTCTTAGTCTCCTAATTCAAATAAATTTTTTCAGCTGGATTTTTTTTTCATCTTGTGAGATTTATTGATTTATGGATTATACAATACAATGTGTTTGGCTTAGGGAAGAATTAGAATCAAAAGTTTCATATACTTTCGTAAGATTTATAAGTTGCTTGAGAGAAGAACAATGAAGGGATAAATTTGATGTAGAGGTGGTTCGAGGTTGGAGTTTAAAAGAGGCTTATCAACTGGAGTCTTTCAACTCAAGCATCCCATCTCTTGCATAGCTTTGGTGACCAGATTTGAACCTTCGTCTCTTAGTAATTCTCTTTCCATCATGGTCATAGCCTTATGCTTTTCAAACAAACAATGATTTGCTTGGTGGAGATCTTGGTAGTTGACTTGTTCTCCTTAGAAAGCTCTCCTCAATATTTGTGGTCTCGTCCTTTGTCACTTCGAGGGCTGAAACATCATCCTCTTTATCCCCTTAGTGTTGAGCGGCTTATTAGAGAGTTGTACCTTATTGACTTTTCCTTTGTAGCTTGCACTGACAAGTCAAGTTCATACTTAGTGTCAGCCACAAGGTGAAATTTAGAGTTCCTTACATCATGTAGATTCTAAATTCCTATGACTCCTTCACCCTAATAGGCAAGTATGTTCTTCATCACTTCAGATTGATCCATCAGTTCAAAAGTTTCAAAATTAGGGGTAACAGAGAGTCTCTATCCTTTCTAATACTTAGCAAAGGAGTATGAGTTCCTATCCACAATACTCGAATAATTAAATGGTCTTGTGCAGAAATAGTTGGTGCCATGAAGACAACGTACCTTCATCAAGTATTAAAATTGTTATGCTGACCAATGGATGCCATGCTTCTTGAACAAACAACAAATGCCCCTTAGGAACGCTGAATGAGCATGTGCTAATTGGAAATTTATTAGGAGATCCATGTAATAATTGGAAATTTATTAGGAGATCCACTAGCTCACTAGTTAGAAGAAGTTTCAATCCCATCTCAAGGTAATGCTTAAACAAATAAACTTTGTTTTACTTGTAAATGTTATTTAGGGGTTGTTTGGTTGGAAGTAAAATGAATGTAAAGTAAGGTAAATGCAGAGTTTTGAGAAGTATGGTAGTTGGTTGGATGAAAATTAAATCCAAGGTAATGTAAAGTGAATGTGGTGTATTCCATTATAGTTTATTTTTGAGTTAAATCGTTCATTCCATTATAGTTTATTTTTGAGTTAAATCGTTCTCGCCTTGCTTTGAGCGAGAACCGTTTACACCGCTCTAAAGCTTGCTTGACTATCGCCGCACACCACGTTTCGCCCATCACTACCGCCATCGTTGGCCATCGCCACCGGCCGGCCGCCTACCGCCTACGCCACCAGACATCAGACGCCGCCACCACCACAACTGCTCTCCAATGCCAGTCGCTGGCTACTACCAACCACCTCAGCATAACTTTTTTACACTTTATATTGCATTTATTTTACTTCTTTTTACACTGCACTTCTTTTTCAGGCAAGCAAATGGCCTCTTAGTATTTTTAGAAGCCACAAAATAAACTCATTTTGAATAGTGAACTTCACTCATGTCCTCATTCTTTTTGAATCAAGAGAATTCGTGGGGATATGCAATCCATAGAAACTACTCTAAAGCTTGCCATTACTTTTTTAATGTGTCCTTCAACAACCACATTACCAATGATTCCCTATATTTGAGTGTTCTTAATCAACATTGTGGAAGAGAGCACAAAGAGGAAAGACAAGATAACAGTTGGATTCAAAGAATGCTAGAAAATCAAAAGCAAAGCAAAGAAGAAGAAACTGCTAATTTTAAGTCGCGGTATTTATCCTAAAACTCTATGATGGTTTTAGTATGAAAACTGAAGAGGCTTGTTTGGCATTTAATACATGCTAAATTTGATGATTGCCTAAAAAAAAAAAAAATTCATGATTGCCATCGAGATGATCATACGAGGAGATGAGAGTTCTTGATATGAGATAAATTCATTCATGAATTAATTTTTATTAATAGAGTAAAGCTTTTTGTGATCTTAGGAATTTGATAATACCTATAAGACAAACTAATTTGTAGAAAGAAATATGTTTTTCATTACTAAGAAGAGGATTTCATTAAAAAAAAGAAGAAGAAAAGGAATACATAATATCTCTTTTTTGATTTATTGGAGGCTGATTAAAGGGCGTTGTAAGCCCATAGTAGGATTATATGAGGTACGACAATCTCGGGAAGGTTGTAGTGAGATGAAGACTAACATTAAGAAAATGAAATGTTTGATTTTTTATTCCACCAGAATCTCCAATTTCATTAGGTGTTGACACCTCATTTCCTTCACTTGGGAATGTGGAAGGGTTGAATCTAGTGACTATCTTTTTTATTTATTCTATTCTATATTGAGAAAGGGCCTAAGAAAGTACAGTCAAGTAAGTCCTTAGCTGAGAGTCATCTATACCTTGCTACAAAAATCCATACCTTGCTACAAAAATCCCTTGCTACAAAAACCTTTGTCTCCATGCATTAAAAATTCAATTTATCCTTGAAATCAGCTTGATCAAGGTTGAAGGTCACAACATAATGATAATTTCTAGTTATTTGAAAGCCAAAAAAAGAACCAAATATACATTTAATATCAATAATGAAGTAATGTAATAATTTACTAAAAAAATATACTTGTGAGATTGAGTCACTAGCTAGACCTTGTCGAGCCAGAGACGTGAATTGAGAGAGGGAGAATTAAGATGATGCATTGAGAGCATTCTCGAGAAGAAGCATTTAAGCGAAAGCTACTAGCACCAATAGTGACTACTAAAAATGCATATGAGTTAGCCGAGGAGTGAGTGCGTGAAGAGAAGAACTACTAAGAAGAAACTAGTTCCAACGGGAGATAACAAAGAATCAATGAGAAAAGATTTGAATGACTACGAGAATTAATTAGGAAAAATAAAAAAAATGTGTCTATTTATTGGTAAATGTTGAACAAAACCATGAAATATGAACCTTTATTTTGCTTTGAGTAGGAGCCGAGGGCATAACACTACGAAGCGATGTTGTGAAGTGGCGCAAGACTTATGTTTTGCTGTGAGCTTGCACTGTACTCGAAAGCGATGCGCATGTCAGTGCATCATTTCGCTTCACTTATAAGTGTGCTTTTAACATGACTTTAGTTGACAATGTTATGAGTGTAGCAGCTGTCATGAATCAAAGTTCACGATCATATTAATGAAAATAATTTAGAGATTGTTCATCATGTTTTGAATGGAGTTGGTATAAATTTGTGGCAATGCTCTATCTTTTTATATGCATCAATTCCTCTCCTCAATAGGAGCATTCAAAATAAACAATTTATAAAATAGAGGAAGGCCAATGATGCTTTATCTTCAAGAAGTCCAATTTTCTCTAAATGGATTACACATGATCGAGTGCATGTCTATGCGATTAGAGGTGTTCGGCATGTTGTTTGTGCTGAAGCATTCTTGTGGAGTATAATAGAGAGGGACTGATTGGGTCAGCTTGTTTGGCTCGCCCATGAATTGATCAATTTGAAGTCATTTAAGTAATCCTATTGTTCACAAACTTGATATGATTCGTTAAATCTTATATAGAAAATTTAGTGTTGTTCAGAGCTTGCTTGGTTGTTAATTTAACCAATTTGAGTATAATTGAGTTTTCATTCATCTTTTTTAATTGCTTTAAGATGTGTTCATCAGTTAGTTATTATTCCAATCCTAATGATTGCCTTTTTTATTTGGATGTCTCAAGTTACAAGTACAAAAATATCTTTTGCTTTGCTTGTTTTTG